AGAGGCCAAGTCTTATGAAGAGGTGCTGAAGGAGGTGGGGAAAGGAGGTTGTAGTGAGGTGGGGGTCGGTTTCTTTTCCCAAGTAATGAGTGATAGGATGAGAGGAAATGGCCCCAAGTAGTGCCAGGGGAGGTTTAGGTTGGATATTAGGAAAAATTTCTTCCCCGGAAGACTTGTCAAGCATTGGAACAGGCTGCCCAGGGAAGTGGTTGAGTCTCCATCCCTGGAGGTATTTAAAAGACAGGTAGATGTGGTGCGTAGGGAGATGGTTTAGTGGTGGACTTGGCAGTGCTAGGTTAATGGTTGGACTCAATGACCTGAAAGGTCTTTTCCAACATAAACGATTCTATGATTATATGACAACGTTGTCGTTATCGTTGTGGTTTTGAGATCACCGTATTCAGTGCCATGTGATCTTCAGAGAAGGCAATAAAGCTATAATTGAAAGAACTGGCAAAAGAGAAGGCTGGGGCTGCTCTGATTTTCACCTTGGTTTTTTATTTTCTATTCCAGGTAGCACAGATGGTATTGGGAAGGCATACGCTGAAGAACTGGCGAAGCGTGGTGTCAACATCATCTTAATCAGCCGAAACAAAGAGAAGCTGGAGGCTGTATCTAGAAGCATATCTGAAACCTATAAAGTGGAAACAGATTTCATAGTAGCTGACTTTAGCAAGGGGCGTGAGGTTTACCCAGCTATTAAGGAGGCTCTGAAAGACAGAGAAATTGGCATTTTGGTGAATAATGTAGGAATGTTTTATCCCTACCCGGACTATTTTACCAACTTCTCTGAGGATATGCTGTGGGACATGATCAACATAAATATTGCTTCTGCTAACATGATGATGCATATTGTGCTGCCGGGCATGGTAGAGAAGAAGAAAGGGGCAATTGTGAATGTTTCTTCTGCAACCTGTTGTCAGCCGACACCAATGATGACAATCTATGGAGCCTCTAAAGTAAGTTGGGGTGTAATGTTTAATGGTATGCACTGAAAAGTAGATGCATTATAGGTTGGTTGTAAACACATTCAGCAAGGATATCAAAATATACTTGAAAGTTTTCTAGGGATTTGTTCAAATATCGGAGGTAGATGTTACGTGCAATATGCAGTAAACCCTTTATCCTCACCAATACTGGGCTTTGAACCAAAGTCAGTGCTATTTGGATTATGTGTGAACTTTGGCATAACAGTGGTTCTAGGAAAAATGTTACCTTCATCAGAGGAATGATGCACAAAGCAAAGTGGCAGTTCTGTGACCCATTGAAAGGGTCAAGAATTTCATCTCTTTCTTCAGCTGAACTGTGCAGACATACCGCAAGCTACTTACACACTAGTATTTGGTAGCAAGAGGGGCTATACTCATGCTTAAGCCACCACTGTGACAAGGGCTGTGGCCAAATTGAGCCACTGCTTCACCTAACACCAAGGGGCAGAAGGCTTCTTACACTGTTGTCTGTACCATATTTGGGGAGAAGTGAAAAGAACTTTCCCCTCCATAATTATTCTTCCTGAGGAGATCCAGTCAAGAATGAATAGGATGGGGCAGCTGTGTGGAGCTGAAAGTATGAATGCGTGTGGGGAATGCGGATTTACGCTGGACAACTTGCTGCTGAATCCACAAAAGCAACTGAGATTGTAGAAGGCTCTCGCCTAGATCTTGTGTCTAAATACAAGTGGTTATTGCTCCCAGCTGTCAGTGGCTGCTGTCTGCTGTAGCCTAACCCCTGTACAGCCTTGCTTCTGGGATAGCTCTTGGAAGTACTTCCTTTTGCCTTGGAGCAAAACCAGCTCCTGTTGCCTCAAGGTATAAAACTCCTTGCAGATTTACTTCAGTGTGGAAACTGGCTTAAAATTCCTGTTTCTGTTGCAGAGTATCTCCCTCCTCGGTTATTCTAAGTGTCTGCAGAACTGCATGCTGAACTAAAACAATTAAAAGGCCTAAATGAAAAAGAACAGAACAAAACCAAGTGTACCCAAGTTTCTTCCTTTAGCTGCCGTCATGAATCCAAATCCTAGATCAGCAATCCAGTTTAAAGCCTGGCCTCTGTACGGTTACATTGGCACAGAAATGGGAACAAGCTGCTCTAGTGTCCTGAGCCTCTTTGTGCGTTAACGGTGTATGGTGTTTGAAGTGGTTGGTTTGTTTGTTTTTTCCTAAAGCGAGTGTAAGAGTATTTGTAGAAGATGCTTTCCCAACAGTTTGCGGGGAACAGCGCTTTTGTGAGGCCATTTGGGGGCAGAAACCGGTTCACTCACAAGCTGAATTTAAAACGCTCTTTCTTGGGGGTTACTGGCTGTGTGGCCCAGCAGTAGCTTCAGCATGGCATCAGTGTTGCTGCCTTGATAAGACCGAGCCATGCTCTTTTTCCCATCTGTTTGATTCCAGCAATCCCAGTTACCAGGCTTGTGCTTTTTTATGTTCTTCTGTTAAAAGCAGAATGAACTAAAGGAGATAACACAGATACACATAAACAAATGCATGTTTAATTTTGCACAAGGGAGCTGCAGGAAGTAATTAACCTAGCTTCTGGGGAAGATCAGTTGAGTATGAAATTCGCCTGTAAATGTATTAAAAAATGGGATTTCTTTTTGTCCTTTTGACAGGAGTATGTATAGTTAGCTTTGGAGTGCCCCCTGCAATGCCCCCAAACTAAACTAGGTGTTTGTTTTTAGATGAAATAAATGTTTCTGTATTGTTTTTAAGCAGAAATTGTCCGATTGTTTGTTAAATTCACATCAGAGAGTTAAGCAGTCGTTTTGTCCTGCAAGTTACTGTACTGTTGCAGGTTTTTAGCAAACAAATAGAAATGTTGGTAATGCTTTAGAAATGTATATTTTTATACTACTTACTCAAGGTTTTATTTTTTTAGCTGATGTATAAAATATGCTACAACTCTTCTGTAATTTTAATAAAACTCTGCCCTAAGACTTGATTGTTTTTTAAAAAAAAAAAAAATGTCTCTTTCTGCTTTTGTCTTTCTAGACCTACCTGGACTATTTCAGTAGAGCACTACATTATGAGTATGCCTCTAAAGGAATTTTTGTTCAGAGTTTAACCCCATTTGTAATTGCTACAAAAATGGCAGCATGCAGCATCACCACATCAGGAAGGTCTTTCTTTATTCCTTCTGCTGAAGAATATGCAAGTCATGCTATTTCTACTCTTGGGTTATCCACAAGGACTACTGGTTACTGGAAGCATGCAATAAAGGTAATGGTTTTCATTAAACTATTTCATGTTTGTCAATAGAAGTAAATAAGCTGTTTACTTTCTTAGGAGTCTGAATGAAAACTATGCTTATATTCTGAAACAGTGCAATATATATTGTAGGACTTAAAGGTATTGTGCCATATTTTCTCACTAATTCTGCTTTTGAAAATTATGCTCGGGCATGCTTATTTTTAGAATGAGAGAGTGAACAAATCCAATTCCCACTTGAAAAGCGCAGCAAAACTGGTAAAGAGACTTTTTATTCAAAAGCACAAAGTATCTCATTTTACTTGGGGCATTGCTAACTGGGCAAGCATTTCATTGTCTTCTATGAACAGAAGTAGCTTTTTTCAGTCTTAATTTATTGAGCGTAGTTCTGCTTTGGGGAAGAGTGGGCACAGAGGATGGAATAATAGCAGAAAAAAAAGCCCACATTTTTATCCTAAGCTACCTGGAAGCAGGTCCTCCGTATGTTAGGTTTTCATTTTTGGGGGCAGACTGTGGGCTCCAAAGTAATTTTATGAACATTGGTTACATCTCATGTGTCCTGCCTATTGGCTTTCTATAGCATTACGTCGAGTAGAAGGAATTGAGGAAATGGAGATTAGTCCAAAAGGAATAAAAGAGATGGGAAGGATTCTGGCAAGATGTGGCAACTAAAGGAAGTGGACAGTATTGCTGTTGTGAACTTGCACAAACCACTTCAGGATTTATCTGCAGAGCCTAACTGTTCAGCTGTAGGCACTACTTCCAAAATGGCTAAATATATTTACTTCCGGGGGCTGAATTTAAGGCTTAGTTGCTGATGTTCGAGCACGTTTTGGCTTGCTATTAGTGGTAATTTGAGAAACTGTTTCCTTACTTTAATGGAATGTATCTTAATCTCTCCCTTTCTTCTTTTTCTGTTCTCCTGTCTCCCTGTGCCTCTCCACAGTTCACGCTGGGTGAGCGCCTACCTGAATGGACCTGGGCATGGTTTGCAATGTGTTTTTGCAGAATTGTACGCAAGGAAGCTTTAACATGCAAAGTGAAATAGGAGTATCCAGATGTCCTGCGTAACGAGTACTATATTCTGATCAGAGTGCTGCAAAAATGTTTAGTGAACCTTGGTGGACTTACTGTAACTTATCGATACCTTGCTAAACAAGCTATGTGTTACCTAGACATCAGAAGTCTGGATCCTGTCTGTATCCTTGTCTTAAATAGCTCCTCCACTGCTTTCCTCCATGACAAAGAGCTGATCTTGTTGAGGTTAATCTCTGTTCACTTTCGCTTCAAGGTAATTGAGCAGGAGCAGGTATAGTTTTAATTCTGACAGTAAATGACTGTCTCTTGCATAGTGCTGCGTGATGTCAACTTGCAAAGTTGACAGAATTTGAGAATTCTCCAAATCTGTCAGAAATGGGCCCCCAAAAACTCATGCTGTTCAAAAAGACCATCCTAGTCAACTATATTGTTTCATTAATATGTAGTTTTGCTTAACTTTTCTGTCTTGTAAGGACAGATGTTTGTATGTTTTAAGTGCAAATGTTGCTTTCGAATGATTTAAGGAACTTCTCAAAATTAAGGTTTATGGCAAGGTACTATAGACTTGGAGGTTCTTTAAATGACTGAAAAGGTCTTACGGAGCTGTAAAGTAATTTGGAGATAAGCTTGTATGCTTTCTTATTCCAAGTGTGAATGATCTTGATAATACTTTAAATATTGCTTCAGCAATCTGAAATACGGCTGGAGAACTGAATAAAGAATGTAAAACAACATTAGCTAAAGAAAAATAATGAAGAAACAATGTTTTGATTTAAAAATACTGATTGTTTTCCTATGATAATTAAAAAAAATATTGAAGTTTTGATGCTGTATGATTTTGATGCTTTTCTTTATATAAATAGGTATGTTTATGCATACGTACTTACTAGAAATCATCTGGTATCATACACTGTGCTCGTATGTGTTGCAGGCTCTACATCTCAGTCAGGAAAGCTGTCCTTTCTGCGTACACATAATTGCTACCTGAAAGAGGGACATAATTTAGGAAGAATGTTCTCAATTTTTTTGTATTTTTATATTATCATGGGCTCGTTAGTACTGCTTCAGTAATGTTATACTGAAATATTAAACTCATGAAATACCTATGTAGTACCTTATACAGAGCAGCATGACTCAAGGACCATCCTCCCCTCACTTGTGCTAGTATTTGTTGCTTGAATGTTACGGTGCTGTATTTTCTGATGGTGACAACAGGAGGTCAGTATACTGCGCTAGCTTGCTCCCTGAAATCCCCACTGGAGGATGTACAACAGTTGCATTGTGTTGCTGAATAATGCAGTCGTGATTACGAAGTGGATATGTGTTGCTCCTCCACAGTACCTCCAGACTGGTGATGTTAGAACATCATTGTAGAGAATGATTTAGTACTCATCCCTATCCAGTAAGAGACTGGATACAAATCTGTTTGTAAATAATTGTAAATTCTAAGTTGTATCATGTGAAATGCTGATTAGATTTAAAAAAAAAAAAAATCCAGCTGTTTAATATATTAAACATATTAATGACTCAATGCTGTGTTGAGATACTGATGCTTGAATTTATTGTCCAGAGTGAAAATCAGGTTGCGATTTTTTATAATGAAGGAGCTCCCTCCCTTGACACTTTGTTACTGTTCTGTTGTTGCAGCTCCATATTCTCAGTTCTTTTGGGGGGCAAGGAGGGGGGAGAAGATGGGGAGCAGTCGGCGGAGTGGTATCAAGGGCGGGGACCCATTCAGTGGTTTTGGCTGCCGCTGGTCTGTTAGCTGACCCCAACCTCAGCTGGCCCTGAAAGCCGCTCGCTTCAATTGTGCAGTATAGAAATATGTATTAGGTGTTGCTAATAATGACTTATGCTTGTTTGCAAATACACAAGCAAATACACAAACAAATACACCTCTTCTTAGCAAGGGTTTAAAGGAAGCTTGAGAAACGCGGAGCTGTAGAACGTTTCTACTCCCCTCTCTCCCTCACGCTCGTCGGACGCTGCCTGCCGGTCCCTGTCGGTAACATCCACATCTCGGCTTTTCCCGGCAGGAGTTAGGCCCCACTCAGCCCCCACCTGAACGACCAGCTTCTCAAACAACCTTCTTCAGAAGGCGGCGGCTGCTGCGCGGCCTCCTCACCGCTTCCAGCGGGAAGCGTCCCCCACGGCGACGGCCGGTACCGCCGGGCCCAGCCGCCGCCCCCCG